TTGGGATGGAAGATTGTAACCTAATTTAGAGCCTCAAGTTTAAAATATCATGTTTTGATTTTCAATTAATGTTTATAGTATTTTTTTTCTTCTTCTTTCTATAAATTAGTTGGCCATTAATTTATTGATTTTTTAGCAATAATGAGCCGAGATGTGAATTATTTATTATAGACCACGTAGTAAAACTTGAATTTGGATAAAAGGTAGAGATACACTTTTTTTTAAAATAAAATTTGCAGGCATTAATTAAGTTCCTTGGTGATTTATTGCTCTTAATAAAGTCTTACCATGATTCACGCAGAGGTATATGAGTTTACTATTAAGCAAGAATTATTATTATTATTATTATTATTATTATTATTATTATTATTATTGTTATTATTGTTATTATTTAAATTTGAGAGATGTAAATCAATTAATTTAAAAGAATTCAATTGAGTACTTGAAATTTGATTATTGAGATTAAGAAAATAGTTATGCGTACTCGTAGATTTTAACACTTAAACCATCATATAAAAATCCTAAATTGTCCACATAAGCTCTCACTACAAGAAATTTATCCTTTTCCTACAAAATTTCCTCCAACAAATTGAGATTTGTAGGCAAAGTTCACTTATCCTCACAGAACGATATTTTCTAGGACTATGATTTACTTCAAAATTTTCAATAATAGAAAGACTCGTGCCAATAGAAATTTGTATTTTTTCCTAACAAAAAATTTGAAGGAAAAAATATATCTTTTACCGAAAGAAATTTTAGACATGTTTGTAGGCTAATGATTATCAAGAAAAAATTTTCAATTACTATGTTTAATTTTAATCCCTATAAAATATATATTTGAAACTAAAAGATAATTAGAAAGAAAATGAGTAAGTAATTTTTTTTAATTATAAAAAACCCTCATAACTCTTTGCCTGCAAGTTTTTTTCTCAAAATTACTCTCTCTCTCTCTCTGCCGCTACAGCTTAATTGGCCCAAGCCTAATTCAAAATTTTTAATTGAAGCAGTATCTTGTCAACAAATTACGATGTAGTCGACAGATTTCTGTGTTATTCTTCAAGCAGTTTTCCAGGTATGCCCATCAATCCTTCTAAATTTTTTGGTTTAAACTGGTGAATATGCACACATCTCGATTGTACTAAGCTAATTTAGGGTATGCGAAGAGTCTCAGGAACGCCTACACTAGCATACGATCTGAACCAAATAAAGAAAAAATCAAGATCACAACATCTTAGATAGCTTCATTTTCGATTATGGTTTAATTCAACCTGCCCATAACAGAAACTGATAAAAAAAGAAAGGGTAATTAGCACAAAACATCCCTACCTTTCGATGTTTTTGTGGAAACGTCCATACTTTTCATTTTTTGGCGGATTACATCCTCACCTTTACCTTTTTTTGCGCAAAACGTCCTTCTATTAACTCTCCGTTAAAATGTTCCGTTAAATCAAAAGGAAATTAGCACAAAAGGTCCTACATTTCAATATTATTGTGCAAAACGTTCATACCTTTCATTTTTTGGCATAATTAGCACAAAAGGTCCCTACCTTTCAATGTTATTGTTCAAAATATCCCTACCTTTCATTTTTTAGCATTTTCACCCCTACTTTTCACCTTTCATTGCGAAAAAGATCATTTTCATCCATTTTTTCAATAAAATGACGATTTTACCCTCCTATTCAAATAAAACAAAAAGAAAAGAAAAGAAAAGAAAAATAAATAATTAATTATAATCATAGTCCTAAATTTTTCAAAACACTACAGATAAATTCTAAACTTTCCACTACTGCCACTTTCATATCCCCACCAAGCCACCACCTATAGATCCATATAGCACTACCTTTCGGCCACAACACCTATCGGACTCCACCACCACTAGCCTCACCTCACTCTTCCCAATATCCTCCTTCATAGTATTGTCACCAATCTGTCCAAAACAACCACATTTACGGTGGCAGAGTCTGGTGGGAATGGTGGCAAAAAGGTGGTATTATGTTGATTTACAGTTGACAGCTTGATAGATGGTGAAAGTGGTGGTGGTTGGGAATTTATGATTTCTTTGAAATTTTTTAAAAATTTAAGGACTATGGTTGCAGTTGGTTATTCATCTTTTCTTTTTATTTTATTTGAATAGGAGAGTAAAATCGTCATTTTATTGAAAAAAATGCATGAGAAGGACCTTTTTCGCAATGAAAGGTAGAAGGTAGGGGTGAAAATGCTAAAAATTGAAAGGTAGGGACGTTTTGCACAATAACATTGAAAGGTCCTTTTGTGCTAATTATGCCAAAAAATGAAAGGTAAGGACGTTTTGCACAATAATATTGAAAGGTAGGGACCTTTTGTGCTAATTACCTTTTGATTTAACGGAACATTTTAACGGGATGTTAACAGAAGGACGTTTTGCGCAAAAAAAGGTAAAAGTGAGGGTGTAATCCGCTAAAAAACAAAAGGTAGGGACGTTTTCCACAAAAATATCGAAAGATAGGGACGTTTTGTGCTAATTACCCAAAAAGAAACATCATTAACCACCGTATTCAAGAATAGATCTAAAAAGCTCATACAAACATAGTGAGATGAACACAACAATCAAGAACCATCATTATATGTTCTAAATACTCAGGAACCTATGATTTATAATTTCTATACAACAATATTTTCCCAATTGTAATTTTATTTATTTATTTATTCTTTTTTTTTTTTCAAGAACCCCTCATATGATCAAAATACACCAGAAAATAATTCAGAAAACTCATTCAACTATGTTTTCCCTCATGTAGTCGAGTTAGAACATAAGAGTAAAAATATGTTTTAGCTAATATATCATCATTCATGTACATGTATCGGTTTCCTATGCACAGGGCAGGATCATACCTCAAATTTTAGAAATTGACCCACCACATTGTAATACGCTTTAAAAAATAAAAATAAAATCAGATTTTTAAATTGGGTTAACAAATTTGGTTTAGTTTTAACTTCAGGTCGCTTCAATTTGGTTGCTGAAATATGTTAATGTGGAATTAGAGATCCTATTTTATCATTGGATTAATTTGATTTTGAATTTTCAGAGAGAGTATTGTGCATAGGATTTAGTAAAAGGAATTAGAAAAATTTGAGCTGAAGCATGGTTATAGTTAGATATACTCATTCTTAGCCTTTGATTTATTTTTATTTTAACTATGTTATGTTACTGGGGGTTTTAGATCTGATAATCTTGATAAGAGAGAATTTCAGTTTAACCGCAACTTGGTTCTTATACTCTAGCAATTCAGGATATATTTCAAACAAATGTATTGGAAAATTTGCAATTTTACTCAAAGTTAACAAATTGGGTATTTTGATGAAATTGGCTCAATGCATCTAAAATTGAAATTACCATCTATATGCAAAAGGTCTGTTGTTAACTTGATATTTTACTTGTGTAAATATCTTTTTTACTGGTTTTGGGGTTAAAAGTCTATGAAATTCATACTCTAGCCTCATGATTGGAGAGCACTTGATCTCTGCTTTTACCTTCTATTGTTATACTTATTTATTCTTGTGAAGTTCAGCTTTTGTCATAAGCATGCAGCTTGCGAATTACATGCTGAAATATCATAATTTGGTTTTGAAAGAACGTACAATTTATTTGATTAAAGCTTATAAATAGAAAGAAATGGATACGAAAATACAATGTTGGAGGGGAAGACGTTCTCATAGACTATTAGTAAGAAAGGATTCAAGAAATAGACCAAGATAGCTAGTTTCAAAAATTTTTTGGCTCTCTTACGCCACGAAATGATTACTGTACATACATGACCGGTTTTACGTTGTAGATCAATTTTACTTCATATATATAAATTGAAAAGTGCAGTTCTTTTATTATTCTATTCTTCTCGTTTTTTTTTTTTTTTTTTCTATTGTTACGTAAATACAGAATTTCTACTGGAATTGGTATTAGAGAACAAGTAATTTTTTTAAGTGTACTATATCTCACTGCTTTGTATAATTGGAGAGCACTGTAGAGCAAAATTTAGTCTTGCATTCAATCTTTTAATGACTGTCAATGTTCATCACCCACTTCAAAACAACTCTCCCGATGAATTAATTGTTTTACAACTACTTTCTAAAGAGCAATTATTTAAAAAAAGAAAAAAAGAAAAGGAAAACTCATGTGATAGGCACAGTAAAAAGTGAAAATGTTTATAGAGTAATGAGGCATTGGACGATGAAATAGACAATTCCGAAGGTAGGGTGTTTATTTTATTAATAGTTAATTTTCTTACTTTAAGAAGTTTATTTACATGTTTGACTTTTATTATTGGTTTTGCAGTTATAGGTGTAGGATACTTGCAAAGAACTCGCGATGATCATCCTACTCGAGGAGCATGTAAACAAATTAACACATCTCGTATCGTTCGTACAACTAGACAGAAAATTCGAGTTTTGTACAATTAGTAAGCAAAGGAGCAACAAGTTCAAAAGTACATAGTTTGTTGGTTCATATATCGAAGCCGTCATTCGGTCACATTGCCCAATGAATACGGGTTATTGGCGGACCATTTCTCCAAGTGAGAAGGACCTTATGGATGAGATCATGGTAAGCATGTCTAAATGTGTTTATACTGCTGAAAAATTAATAGCCAAATAAAACTACATGAATTAATTAAAAGCACATTACTCATTTAATTTTGTGATTTTATTTATTTTTACTTTGTGTTTTGTTTTCCAGAACTGGGAAATTTGTTCTAATTATGGTTTCTTTGTATTTTATGCTTTTTTTTTAATTATTTCAATTCCAGATGAACTTCGAGATAGATTTGAAAGACTCAAGATTGGTAAATTATATTAATAAACTATACAATGGAAGGTACAAGGAGTTCAAGGTTGAGTTGAGTGCATACTATAAATTGCACAAAATGCATGAGAATGCATTAGCCAACCCCCCTTTGGAGATGCACCAAAGAGGTGTAAGTCAATGGGTCAACCTATGTAATCATTCGAACTCTGATAAGTTCAAGATATTTATCGTGTAATTCCATACCGGTTCACAACTTTTACTTCTAATTTTGTTATGTGATATCTATATTTTTTTGTCTTTGCAGAAGGCTTCATCAACAAACATAGTGAATTGATCGAAGAAGTAAATTATTGTACTGGTTCACGTCCTTTCTCATACATAGTGAAGAAGATGGCTGAGGTAGTGAATTCATATGTTATCAACATGTACTTAATTAATTAAGTTTGCTAAGAATTTGAATACAATATTTGAAATATGCATTTTTTATTATAAGGATGGTTCGAAGTTTCCCGAAGTCAACATACTTGAGTTTGCTTATGCAGGGAAGAACAAGTGTTGGACTTGTAATACAGCAAAAGCTCAACATGTAAGAAAGACTCAACACTTTATGGACTGTTTTATATATCTTGTTGGTTGTGTTTGAATGATGAGATGTTTGTTAAAAAGTATGAATATCTTGTAGAGAGGGCAAAGGGGCAGCAACTTCTCGAATATACTTCTTTGGAGGAGATACCTGGAGATGATCCTGATGTCGAAATTAATATCATAATGTCCGTTCTAGGTACGAAGCTCGGGCATCAAATTCTCGGGTTAGGAGATGACCGCCTTCGAGACATTGGAATATCTTCTTCCAATTTACGCAATTTGGAGAAGGAGTTGGAAGCAGAACATATTGCTCGTAAGATAGCCGATGTGGCTCGAGTAAACATGGAGAATGATATGTAAAATAAGCTAAAGGTTGTCGAGTAACAATTCAATTCTACATTACAATCTTGGCATCTATATAATAATTATGTGGTAAAGTTCCTGGGTTCATTGTACCATTGTCAATAGAAAATAATGGTAATGAGAAAGATGATGCTATTGAGGATGAAGAGAATAACTTTGGTGAGAATTAGCGCATATCGAATTCACGGGAATAAAGAGTCATATTTTTTAGGTGCATAATAATAGATATATAGCATGTTTGCTCTACTCATTTAAACTTTAGATTTAATCATACTTGGTGAATGGTATTTATTC